GGTGTAAAACTGTGATCTGACAAGTTTATACGTTACACTATGCTCACCACAACTGTAGTTACCATCTGTCGTGTTTCTAAATCCAATTTTTTGTGGTTGGAAAATATTACATCTATTTCAGGGAAAGGCGACTTGAGCCGAATCTCCCTAAGAATACTAACTTAATCCAGGCAACATACTTTATGGTGAGAAGAAACAAAGTAAGAATTTGGTGTAGATGAATGATTTTCTTAATTATTTTTAGTCTTTTATACTACTTAAGTGTTAATTTCGAAGTTAAATTATTCTAGATTCATAATTTGTTTTGTCTTTGTGCCTTCTGTGCCTGTCTTCTTTGGAATTATTTGAATACTTTTTTTAGAATTCCGTTTCAATTAATATATTGGCTTCCTGGGATCCTGGGTGGCTCGGTTGGTTAAGCCTCCGACTTGGGTCCAGGTCATGATCTCGTGGTTTGTGGGTTCAAGCCCTGCATCAGGCTCTCTGTTGTCAGCTCAGAGCCTGCTTCAGATCTTCTGTCTCCCTCTCTCTCTGCCCTTCCATCTTTCTCACTCTCTCTTTCAAAATAAATAAATTAACACTAAAAATATATATGTATTGGCTTACAGGCTATATCTGTTTACATTATATTCTAAACAGATTGTTTAGAATGGTTGTTCTAAAGATTACAGTACACACTCTTAACTTTTCACAGTCTTTTTAGAATTATTTTTCTACAACTTAAGAAATCCTGTAACAAACAGGTTTATTGATCACCTCCCCAACCCATTATGGTATAAGTTGTTGTATGTATTACATCCTACATATATTGTAAACACTGAAGGCAATGTTATAAAATTTGCTTTGAATAGTCATGCCCACTGCAAGAATTAACAGAAGATTGTCTTTAATACTTACCCAGATATTTATAATTTCTCATGCTCTTCTTACCTTCTTAAATACCCAATTTTCTATCTGGTACCAAAGAATTTCCTTCCTTTGCCACTCGTAATGCAGTTCTGTTGGTGATGAATGTTCCCAGTCGTGTTTGAAAATGTCTTAATTTACCTTCATTCTGGAAGGCTATCAATGATATAGGATTCTGGATTGGCAGATTACTTTTTCTTCAGGTGAATATTCCATCATTTCTTATTTTCATTACTCATAATGAATTTCTGGCATATATGTATCATTATTCTCTGGTTGCTTTCAAGATTTTGTTTTTCTCCCCTTCAGAAGAATGACTACAATGTACCCACTTGTGATTTAGATGATCTTATTTGGGCTTTGTTGCGCTTCCTGAATTTAACTTTGTTTCTCAACAAATTTGGAATAGTTTCAGCTATTATTTCTTCAAATATTTTTCTGCCACATGTTTTCTTCTCCTTGTAAGATCCTAATTACAGGTGTCATAGCTTTTGATATTATCACATTGAACTCTCTTGTAAAATTATTTTTGCTCCCCTAAAGATTGCATTATTACTCTTATCTAATTTGGAATAATTGGGCAGGAGAGGGGCAAAGCTAGATATTTACATGTTGCCTTAGGAGAAACAACAAGGAAACAATGGTTGTAATTAAGGGAAGAGCCTCAGAAAATGCAGGGCAGAGCAACACTTTTTAAATGTCTTATTTTATCCATAACTTTGCACCCATTAGTTACCAGAAAACAAAATTTTCGGATTAGTGAATTTGGCACACGAGACTGAACAGACACAAGTCTGTTCTTTTTGCATTTTCTCTGGAACTGGCTGCCTGCAAAGAATACGCTTTCCTCTCTGCCCCAACAACAGTAACATTTAAAAGCCACCCCCCCCCCCCACCCCCGCAACCTTCCTCTGATTTCAGTACTGAAATGAATACTGTTTCACTCTGGGATCCAGAATAACAAGTCCATTATGTTCAACGCCTAATGTGCGTTCTCAGAAAGTCACAGAGAACACTACCGTTTTGATTTTTATATCCCTGGCTTCTGCAGGACTCTTTCTATTCTGAATTCACTCTTGATTAACACCCTCTTAATATCCTTCCATATTTATATATATATCTCCAGTGGTTTTGGTGGATCCCCTAACCTGAGCTCACGCTACCAAATGGTTTCCATGGATTCTTATGGGTACTTGTAAGACTTTAGGCACCTTTTTATGCACGTATTTAGACATGTAAAAAATACTCTGGGAGAAAATTGGGAGGTATTCCACCTCAGAATGTATTAAGCAGCTTCTCTCTAACCTTTCTCTATTCCTAATGGTAAGAGATGCATATGTGTGGATGGGATACTCCAACATTGGAAAGAAGAGGGCACATCAGTCTCCTCTTCCCCTAGCATCCCGTAGGCTTCTTAAATCTACGATTCGAATTAGGCTATCTTGTCCAACCTTGAGAATTCCTTTCAAATTTCTTCAATTCCAGAAAAAGATGGCCTTAAAATACATCCAAAACAACAACTGTGGAAGGAAACAAGGGTTCTTCATCACCGAGAAAAGGAACAGTAAATGTGACTTGATTTCAAAATGGGACTGCCTGCCCAGTAAAAAAAACGACTCTTGTTTAGTGTTCATACGTGGCATGTTGACTTTCTCAAAAACTTTGTTTAACATGCAAATATCTTTGATGTATATGATTGAGTTGGTCAAATGAGGTAATATTTTTGGTCCCGTATTAAACTAATATATTGACGGCAGACATTTGGATGGGTGAAAAGAGGAAGGCAGAGTTTGAGACTTTGAGTCCTCTTGGAACCAGAGTTTACTGAATATTTGGGAAGCAAAATATGAAAAGAGGACATACAGCAAAAACTCGGTGTGGTTATACTTTATTTAAAGAATCTTTAGGCATTACACTATTTATTCCTCAGATCAGCCCTATTAGGTGGCTACAATTACAGTCTTATCAGATGATGGAACATCCTCCTATCAGATGATGGAACTGAAGACTAAAGACTAAAGACTTAAGTAAAAATGACTGAGGTCTAGTGAATGCTTGAGTGCCAACAGGTGCTTTCAAATACCCTTCAAGTAACTCTCTGAATAAAATACCATGTCTGTCATATGTTACTGGAGAGGAAACTGAGCCAGAGTAGTTATATAACTGAGTCACAGGACTAAGAGTGTGCCTTCTGAAAGCACATTGAAATGACTTGGTTTCATTGCCAACGTTCTTAAACTTTATGCTCTACTGCTTACTTCCCATTTTACTTGATCAAGGACCCTGGTGAAAGCATCTATATGATGATGTTTACCACTATACAAAACTACCTTATGAGAATATTGGGTACAGAGGAAACAAAAATCTAGAAAGGAAGTTGCTTAAAGTACTAAGTGTTTTAACTATTTTCCAATATTTTCTTTACAAACATGCTTACCTATTTCATAAAATATGACAAAAATATTCCTATACCTATAATAGTAGATTAGGTTATATTTCAGTGACCTACATTTCTTCCATCTGACTGTTTTGAAAGCAGATATACTTTGCAGAAACTTAGTGACAGTTTCGGTCATGTGACTTCTTTTCACAACATAATGTGAGTGAGAAAGGGACACCTTACGAGTTTAGGGCCCAAGAATTAAGAAGCACACATCTGCTGGGGTGCCTGGGTGACTCAGTTAAGCATCCAGCTTTGGCTCAGGTCATGATCTGGCGATTTGTGAGTTCAAGCCCATGTTGGGCTCTGTGCTGACAGCTCAGAGCCTGGAGCCTGCTTCGGATTCTGTGTCTCCCTCTCTCTCTACTCCTCCCCCACTTGTGCTCTCTCTCTCTCTCTCTCTCTCAAAAATAAATAAACATTAAAAAAAAGAAGTACATATCTGCTGACTCCTCTGAGAGCTACTAATCTCTGTTATAAAAGGTCATATACCAGGTATCCCCTCCTCTAAGAATAAAATATATAAAAAAGATCTGAGCTGAATCTGTATGGAGCCAAGTTCATGTTTACCCAGCTTACATCAACTGAAACACCCTCAAACTCTAAATGGTTGAATGAAAAATAAGTTTAAATTCTTTGTAAACATCAATGCAATCTTGAGTTTTTTGTAACACGACTTCAGCGATTAGTTACAGCTGTCATTTACATGTTGTATGAAATTGATTTTAAATACTCATATAATTTTTCTACATGAGTATAGGGACTACATACAGAGAATATAAGGAAGGCTACATTCAGAGAGATGAATGTATATGAAACAGTAAGTTATTTGGCAAACAATAATCAAAGGTAAACCCTTTCCCTCTTGTGAGCAAACTAGGGTAGAAATATCTCTGAATGATTATCAAATTACTCAAGGGTCTCCCCAATTCTGTCAATAACCAGCTGCTTGACCACAGAAAACTCTTTCTGCTTTTAATTCTTGTTTTCTTTATTATTCAACACTATTTTTCCCATTAAAGTATTTCCTAGGCATTGTAGTAAAGAGTTAGCAAAAGTTAGGATCTGGAACATTTAAGAAAACAGGATATGTTCCACACTATGTACAATCCAGGTGAGGAGAACACCAAACAAGAAAACGTGTGTGAAAACGTGTGTGAATGTCGAAGGACACCGGTTATTAGCCGATGAAGATACCAATCTTTACCAAAAAATGAAACTAATCACTAAAAACGCTGCACTAAAACAGATTCAGAAGGTACAGCTTGGTTCCATTCTCTGAGGAAGTGGGCAGATCTGAATGGCTCTTAGACAGCAACCCTGTGGTAGTTGCATGATAACCCTGAGTGCCCATTAACAATTTAGTACTCTCAGCTCCAAATCTACCCTCCATGTTCCGTTCTCAGATAATGGAGTTACATCCTGTAAACTTCTCGCCCTCGTCATCTCACACGATGTTGACTTTTGTCGGTAAAAGACAATGGAGAGTCGGTGCAGCAGAAAGACATCTTCTTCCTGGTTTCATGGTGTTTTCCCTCCTTTGGCCACCGTGGCTTGGTTGCCAGCCGTATGCTTGCAGGAAGTCCTGTGTATTCAGCCTGGAAGAAGTTTTGGTGGCCTGTCCATCAGTTTCCTGCCCTCAGCTCTGTGCCTCCTAACACTCTGGTGTGGGTTCTTCTTGCCTGCTGGTCACAGCCTGAGATCTATCCTCACCAGTGGACTGTGGAGCTGCTCTGTCCCACGCCAATCCAGGAAGCATGTCTGCCATGAAGCTGTGTGTAGCAACAATGTCTTTAGTGACATCTAAATCCTGTCTTCAGAGAGTAAGCCTGGCTTCCCAGTGATCGCTCCTTTGGGTACTCTCCTTTAACTCTGACATATTCTTTTATTTAAAATTCTTTTTACTGTTTATTTATTTTTGAGTGAGACACAGACAGAGAGCCAGCAGGGAGGGATAGAGAGAGAGAGAGAGAGAGCCGGACACAGAATCTGAAGCAGGCTCCAGGCTCTGAGCGACCAGCACAGAACCCGACATGGGGCTCGAACCCACGAACTGTGAGATCATGACCTGAGCTGAAGTTGGAGGCTCAACCAATTGAGCCAATTGGTTGGAGGCTCAACCAATTGAGCCAGGCACCCCTCACTCTAAGTTATTCTTATAAATTTTTTTCATCTTAGTAGTCTTTTCTCTTAGTAGGCTTTCCCTTACAAATAGAGAATACTTGTATACATCAAACTTCCTTTGGTTTCTGTCTCTTGATTGAATTCTGACTGATAACCTTGCCACTCTGCATTGTTCAACCCTCCTTTGCAGCCCCTTTAAGGGCTAGGACAAATCAATTAATTTGGAAATATATTAGAATTGTTTACTTTATTGAGAGCTTTACAGTAACAGTGCTTGATATTATGATTTGGAATTTATAATTTATTTTAATAAAAAGCAAAAGCTTAAGGAATATATATTATGTACCTTGAGAACGTATTTTTTACATTAATGTAACTAAAGATTGAAGAACACCAAGGGTGAATCTTCAAGTACACTTTGGACTTGAGTGATTATGATGCATCACTGTGGATTCATCCTTGGTAACAAATGGACCGTTCTAGTGAGTGACCTTGATAATGGGAGAGGCCATGCATGTGTACAGGCAGAGACAATGTAGGAAACCTCTGTACCTTCCTCTGAGTTTTGTTGTGAACCTCATATTGGTCAAACAAAGAATATCTTAAAAGTATTCTGAGAAAATAATTGGATGGCGTATGAGGAAATGTGAGATATGCTCTATATAGATGGTGAGATAGCGTTATACCAAAATGAGGTAACTAAAATGCCTAGTGCTTACAAACATATGGTCTTGTGATTAAGCAGGATTCAAAATAGCTCTTCTTTAATTTAAAATTGAAATATGGACAATTCTGGTCACTCTCTGAAGATACTGGCAACCTGAAATACAGAGAATTATATTGCATTAATCTTAGCAATATATACAATAATCTTTTGATGGATAAACTATTTTGATTAATAGTTATGCATCGAAATGCAAATATTTCCCCTATCATTTTTCTATGGAAACACTTCAACAATTGTGTCTATAAAATTGTCCACATATTGCTGGTTTTCTTTCTAAGATTAATTCCTCGAAGGCATAAAAAAAAAAGTTCTTAGGAAACTTACACTTTGGAAGAGACAGTTGAGCCTCTTGACCACACAGATGAATTTTTATTGCTTCTGTGGCAACCTCTAATCCATGAAGTAGGAATGAATAAATTCAACAAATACTATGAGAAAATAAATTTTATTAGAAAAGCTCTTGTATTCATTTGGATTTTGTAGTACCAAATAAAGTTAATTCTTTCCTACTTTATAAAATCTTTCAAATTATAATATAATGTTACGCACTGGACACATTATAAAAGTCTCTTAGCAGGATTAAGTGAGGAGGACATGCTGACGAAGGTCATAATTTTGGGGTTCTGATTATTGACGAAAGGTTAATGATAATTTGTGACATATTCACATTGGAAAAAATCCTAGAGATTCAAGTAGGAAGCAGCACATTTGTCATTTTCTTGCCTGGGATGCTCCCATGCCTCCCCACCTGTTGACCCTAGCTCAGCGATCAAGAAGAATCACAGTTTTTACAGTTCGAGAAGCTGCAAAAAAAACAATGGTATTGGTGCCACAGGGGCAGACTTGATTAGCGGTGGGGTTGGGGGCAAACTAGCCTATTGATTTTCAGCTCCAAGTGCTGATTTCACTAGGTAATGTTGAAGAAAACCCATACTCTTACTAGTCAGAGGTTTTGGTCTTTGTGTCAAGCTCTGTGACCCCCCCATAAATATAATGGGAAGGTAGTTCTGTAAAAATACAACAGAAGAGTTGACATCAGCTCTCCACACACTCTTGGCTGATGGAAAAGAATATGCACACATGGAGAGGAGGCCAAGACGAACTCAGGAGAAAGTAAGAACAGAAAGAGACTTGAGAACTCATAGTAAAGTTATGAGCTGTCCCCTCCCACATTTACACATGTGCACAAACACACACACACATGCACACACATCACATGGCAGAGGGGGGAATCCTCCTGATTTGCAGTATTTGAATGCAGTCTTTTGTTTGTTTATTATTATTATTTATTATTTTTTAAATATAATTTATTGTCAGGTTGGCTAACATACAGTGTATACAGTGTGTTCTTAGTTTGGGGAGTAGATTCCCATTATTCATCACTTACATACAATACCCGGTGCTCATCCCAGCAAGTGCCCTCCTCGATGTCCATCACCCATTTTGCCTGCTACCCCACCCCCGTCCATCAACCTTCAGTTTGTTCTCTGTATTTAAGACTGTCTTATGGTTTGTCTCTCTCTCTGTTTGTAACAATTTTTTTCCCTTTCTCATCCCCCATGGTCTTCTGTTAAGTTTCTCAAATTCCACAGATAAGTGAAAAACATATGATATCTGTCTTTCTCTGCCTGACTTATTTCACTTAGCATAATACCCTCCAGTTCCATTGACATTGTTACAAATGGCAGGATTTCACTCTTTTTCATTGCCGACTAGTGTTCCATTGTATATATAAACCACATCTTCTTTATCCACTCATCAGTTGATGGACATTCAGCCTCTTTCCATAATTTGGCTATTGTTGTAGAGCTGCTATAAACATTGGGGAATGCAGTCTTTAAAAAAAATTGGTATTTACACTCAGATATCACCTCACGCCAGTCAGAGTGGCCAAAATGAACAAATCAGGAGACTATAGATGCTGGAGAGGATGTGGAGAAATGGGAACCCTCTTGCACTGTTGGTGGGAATGCAAACTGGTGCAGCCACTCTGGAGAACAGTGTGGAGGTTCCTTAAAAAATTAAAACTAGAGCTACCCTATGACCCAGCAGTAGCACTGCTAGGAATCTACCCAAGGGATACAGGAGTATTGATGCATAGGGGCACTTGTACCCCAACGTTTATAGCAGCACTCTCAACAATAGCCAAATTATGGAAAGAGCCTAAATGTCCATCAACTGATGAATGGATAAAGAAATTGTGGTTTATATACACAATGGAGTTCTACATGGCAATGAGAAAGAATGA